AAGGTGGGGATGGGGCCCAGGGGGGATCCATGGGCTGGGAGGGCTCTTCCAACCTCAGGGATTCTGTTTCAAAATTCTGATCTCAGAATTGTCTCAGGTTCTTTAATCAGCTCAAAAAAACAACCAAAGAGGCTGCCAAAGGTTATGGAATCACAGAACATCCAGAGTTGGACCCACAAAGAACATCGAGTCCAATTTAGCTTTTAAAATGTTTTAATTCACTTGTAGTTGGGGGGGGAGATTTTGTGACAGTGACAAAACCACATTTTCTACGTGAGTTTTTGAGTTTATCCCTCGTGTTGGGAAGATCCTGCTCGGTCTCTAAGGAGTGTTTCCCCCCGGTGGGAGCTCCTGGAACCCAAACATTCCGGCTGGATTGGAGCCATGTGCTGGCGTTCATCCCACCCCTCCCCAGACCCGAAGGACTGAAGACTGGAAATGTGAACGTTGGGATGAATGGGAATTTCGGGGCTGGGAAGAGGCAGGGTCAGTGCCCACCACAGGTGGGGGGCTGGGGGTGCCCTGGAGGCCCCTGTGCCCCCCTGGGCTTTGTGGTGGCACCAAACCGGCCTCGCCCTCATGGGGGTCCTGCTTTGGGGGGGCTGGGGAGGCACCGAGGGACCCCTCAGCCCCAGGGGCAGCGTGGGGGTCCCATTTCACCCCCTCCGTGACCTCCACCCTCTCTACCTGCCTCGTTGCTCTGTACCTCCAAAGCGGGACCCTCCATGGGGTCCCCTCCCGACCCCTTGCCCGACCCCCCTCCCGCCAGCCCCGGGCACGGGGGAGCGGCCAGTCCCGTGTCAGCACCGCGGACAGCTCCGGCACTGCTCCCTGCCCCTCTTACCGTCCCCAGAGACCCCCGAACCTCCCTAGAGACCCTCCGACCCCCTATAGGCCCCCTGTCCCCCTACAAAGCTCTCGACCCCCTATAGAGCCCCGACCCCCCCCTGCTCAGCCCTGCTGACAGCTCCGGGCCCCTCCCTGCGTGGCTCCTGTCCCCTCTTACCCCCTCCCAGAGACTCCCTGACACACCCTCTAGACTTCCGACCCCCTTATAGTCCCCTCGACCCCCCTGTAGAGTTCCTGCCCCCCCACAGACCCCCGCCCTGCCTATGGGCACTCTGAACCCCTCCACATCCCCTCCCGCGCTCAGCACCGCGGACAGCTCCGCTCCCCCTCCCCACACTGCTCCGGCCCTCTCTTACCACCCCCATAGACCCCCTGACTCCCCTATAGACACCTCTACCCCTCTATAGACCCCCCTACAGAGCCCTCGACCCTCTATGGGCCCCTGCCCTCCCTACAGACCCCCTATGCACCTATGCATCCCCTGTCCCCC